CTGGTGTCAAGTGCCCTGTAGAAAACACCGAGGAACCAGACTATCCTGGTAAAAAATGGTGGTCACTGCCACCAGACTTCCCTCACTGAATGAAGTCTTGAAAACTAGCCTGTGTTACGGACGGAAATTTAATTCTAATGAATAAACACGGAACGTACATTTCCTTCGTAACGCTAATGAAGGCTAGCGAGAATTGGAAAATGCGAGAGAGAAGATGTTTCGGCCGATAAACTGAATAGTGAGGAGAATAGAGCCTCTATTCTTCTCGCGAAACATTCTGTTTCTCTCTCGAGTTTTCCCTTAGCGTTTGACAATCCTTGTTGACAAGTTTTCATTTTCATTTCAAGAGAAAGGAGCAGATGTTACATCATATTATCTTTACGACGAGAGTTTAGCTGAGACGGCCATAACTTTGCTACAATCCTTATCGATCTTTAGCTGAATACTTACATCTTTGCTCTTTGTTTTGCACTCACGATTGTTTTTTAATCTAGGCCCTTGTAATTGTAACATTGAACTATGCCTGTTGATGTTTTTTAGAAACTACAAATACTGATAGCTGTGTGCTATACTGTGTATTCTTTACTACTCACAGTGCAAACTCGAGGTATACACCCTATTCGATGGTTTAGCATATAATACGCGCCGATATTTTGCGTAGTATTTTCCAAGCTCAGGGCTGGGGTGAGAAAAAAATACCAGCGATGAGCAAAATGTGTGCGCATGCGTTTATTAGATTTGAGCCACCGAATAAAGGATTTATTGTTCCACTATTATGTAATTTTCTAGTATTTCGGCTTCTAGTTTTTGAAACATATCCTGCATTATCCGAAAATCGTAGGCGCGTGCGAACTGACGAAAACAAAATACGACCCTTCAGTACAATACGGGTTCATATATTTTGCTCGTTCTGTTGACCAAATAGGGTAACAGTGGAAAATTATGAGGTTGATGAGAGAAGAAGCTATGAGTCAAATTAAAGGACCTTCTATCAATAGATAGTAACCTACAATAGTGGGTGTGCTTGTAGCCAATTAGAGTGGCAGGCTGTTATCCGGGGTTACTCAATGAGTTTGGCTGATATAAGTGTCCCTGAACGATTCAATAAAGCTTTATTGTTCGTTTCATTATATCGGAAAATATCTGTAACGTAGAGTTGCATTACAACGATTTTTTAACCTCAGGAGGGAAAATTAATTACAGGAAAAAATTAAGAATTCGGAAGTAAGATGTGATAATAACCAACTTCGCGCCTATTTTTTAAGTTTGTTGTAGTAGTAAGACCACTTTCTAATTAACATAATTTCGTAGCAACAATAAGCTATTTGTAAAGTGAAATAATAAATGTTATCGCTGTTTCGCCGAAGTATTAATCGAGTGGAAACCAAACTGGGTGTGAACTTCAAACATCGTACGATTTTATTTTGTTCTACACAGATACGAGTTTGACTTGAAAAAAATGACAAGTAAATAGAAAATGAATACAACAATTATAAATGAAAGAAACTAGGCAAGTAATAAAGAAAACAACAACAAACACGACTTACAGAAAATCCACCAGAGTGATAAGGTAGAAACTGAACAGATCAGTCCTGGATACGTATGCGATACACAATTTGATAGAATGGATTTGCAAGCTATTTTAAAATAACGAATCCGTAGCTCTTAAATTCGTAAAAAAACACGCGCGAAAGATGTAAATTATTTGTCCCGTTGGGATATCGTGATCTGAATAGGAAACGAAACAATAGAAAGCAACGGAAGAATGTCAAAATAAAAGCAGTCAGCATAACTCAAAATTAGATTAACTAACTAAACTTCGACTCTACCTTTTTGTTGTATCAAACTGATAACCAAAAGGACCCTCTCTGCAATCCCTGGTTAAATCAGTGAACCGAAATACAACTGCTATATTCTGGAACGGAGTGAGCTGGCCAAGAAAGCAGCAGGAATTTCGTAACTTGTGATACCCGTTTCCTGGTGATGTATGAAACAATATTTACCCTTGTTATTTAAAGGGTACCTTATAATGAGAAGTGTTGGAGGCGCGGGATGTTAGATCGATGGCCGTACATTGTGTTGTGTTATTGGGCATTAAAGACACTTTACTCTCACAGTGCCTCTCTCCTCCTCTCTACACCCAGGTGAGTAAATGGGTATCGGAGATTTTAATGCTGAGGGGTAACCTTTNTGAAATCACGCCATGATTTGAAATCACGCCATTTTGAGATGGCTATGAATTTGTTGTGTGGTTTTCGTCTGTTTACGTTCTGCTGGACTCTGTATCATACGGATCTTAGGCAGATGTTGAAGAGAAATCGCCAAAATATTCGTCAAAGTGGACACTGAAAGTTGGAAACTTCCCTTAAAGTAGGTCTTCCGCCTGAAGGAGCCCTTAATCGTTATTCGGAAACTGTAATTAATTAAATTCGTCAATATTTTTGAGAAAAAAAAAAAAACCAACAACAACAAAGTTTTGCCAATAATACTTGCAAAATACGCCACACAATGGCTTTTTGTCTTTCATATTCCTCAAATTTTATTGGTTACTTTAAACTAACCTTAAAATCTGATTGATTATCTTGTTTTACTGCCCCATACTTATTGGCTGAGAAAAAGATGCGATTTAGAGAAAAAATAGTGCGATTCGTGAATAAATCGCATTGCTGAGAGCCAATCAGATTGCGAGGATAACCAGTGATTTCAAAATAGACTTAATAAAGAATTAAATTGAATTGAATTGAGTCGCTGCATGCTTCATAGTAACCTGAGAAAAGCGCCGGCCTTATGGGCTACTTGGCTCGCATGTAGACTTTACCTCACCCTTATTATGGCAAGTTTAGGTTATCATATGAATGCAAGTGCAATTAAGAACTTACAGTAATCGTGATATTTGAAAATTGTCTCAGGCGGGTGCAATTTGAAAGAATTTCAAATATCACGAGTAGTGTAAATCCTTACTGTGGATTAGAAATTAAAGATAAATTGGTCTGCTCTCGACTAATCACAATGAAGTAATTTGTCTTGGAGTGATATTTTTACCCCTCTCAAGTGAAAAGTCTACTTTCCTCACAAATATTCAAGACACTACCTGATTGACGAAGCTCGGAAGCTCTCGTCAACAGGGATGTGTTAATATAAACCGATATGGCCCAGCAGTTACAAAAATAACTCAAAGAAAGCTTTGAGCTGAGCCCTCCAATAGTCCGGCTGTACCATAAAAAAGTAAGACATAACTGTAAACAATTGCTTTGTCAAATTAGGTCCTACGGCGAAAGAGTGACATCGTGACTGTTTGGTATCTATAAGTCACGTTAATCTAAAAATATATATAATTTATTAATTAAAATAATAAATTAAAACGACTTCTATATCATGTCATGCGCCTATCTTGTTGTGTAACACAAGCACACGAAATAGACGGGTGTCTCACACTTCCGGCTTTTATACACTCGTCAGTAGCCTGCAGTAACGCTCCGTGGCAGATCAGTCAATGCCAGCGTTGTCTTAGGTGATTGAGAGTCGGGATTCATCTGCATGGACCACAAAATGGCGAACTCTACCTGTAGTTTGGGTATGGCTGTCTCACAGATCTTCCATTTCGAGCAGCAATGCCTCCACTCTCTCATTTACAAGTGTTACGGTCACAGTTGAAAATCTAAAACCTCACTGACTGCATCTCCATTTCTCATTTCTCATTCTCCATTTTCATACGAATTAATATAATGAGTTATTTTTCCGGAACAATAGTTTTTCTCTGAATTTTGTGTAATAAAGCTAGCTTTTGTAACGGTAATAATTCTTGGAATTGGTCACGAGCTCAGAACCAGAGAATGGTGGAAGAAAGGCCGGAAGTCTTTGTCTCGTCATTGCGTGACCGATTGGATTTCCGAGAAGGAAAAGGTTGGAAGGACATGTTTGTGCAGTCGTAGACTACGAAAACTTCGCTCTATCATTGTAAAGCTCCAGAGTTCGAATTCTAGAGAAATGGACAGTTCTACGAGGCTAATGAAATTTCATCTGTTCAACTGTGATAACACGTACAAGTTAGATTCAGTCGAAAATTTGCTACGTAATATGGAAAGCAATTATGACTTCAAGATTCTGGTTGAAAAGCGTTATTTTCGCCTCCAGCAAACTTCAGAGATGTGTGAAACCACCATACCCAAGCTGCAAATGGATTTCGCCATTTTTGTCGTTCACGCACACGAATCTCGGCTGCCCATCAACGAGGACAACGCTGGAATTGGTTACGCGAGATTCTACAGAGCATTGCTGCAAACCACAGGTAAGTCTTCGTAAGATAATGAATAAGAATAAAAAAAAAAAATGAAATAAGAGTTTTGATCAATGTTTTCTTCGTAAAATCGTTTTATTGCAAAATGGAAAACGTTTTCATTCATTGACGTTTTTCGGCTGGAGTTTCTTACAGTAAAACCAACTGAAGCGTACCCTCAATATTACATTAAAATGAATTGATTATTTGAATTTGAAGTCGCTAGTCGTTTCAAGAATGCAATAATGAATTGATTAATGGAATATTGAACTCTCTCGCCCGTTCCAAGAATACGGAAAATCAATTCATTATTGCATTCCCGAAACGACTAGTGGGTTCCATATTCTAATAACCAATTCATTATTGCTTTCTTGAAACGATTAGAGGGTTTAATATTCAAATAAGCAATTCATTAATGTAATCTTAAGGGGTACGCTTTACTTGGTTTGTCTGTAAATATGGAATAATGCAAATTCCACATATCGAAAGGAATATACTAAAACATGAAAATTAACATCTATTGTTCCTCTTCATTCAGTTGTATATTTTGGTTCTGTATGGCGGCGGAATGAAGAGAAAACGGCTGCCATTGCTTTCGATTCACAGCAGACAACCCCATGCAATTTTTGCGTCCTATCAGTATGTATCGCACTACGGACAAATCAGTGACAGGGAGCCCCTACAACGAGCTATGATGGAAGAGTTTGAAGCAACGGAAGCAGGAGTGAAACGACTGTTAAGAAAACAAGACATCATTCTTAATTTTAGAGGTTCTAAACGGTTAAGACAAACATCATGCAGGGATAAAGTTCATCGCACAATGAGAGAAACCCGATCCGGTTTTAGGTCAGACCGAGATCGATCAGAGTCCAATTTGGTGTGTAAACACTTTCGCTTTCGCCTACGCCACCTGTCAGGTCAAAATGAAGAGTTATACTTCGTGATCTTCGTGTTTTCAGAATGTTACGGTACACGGCTGTACACGTTTAAGTAGCTAGAAAAGCAAGAGTACGTTTTGGGAGGATTAAAATTAGAGAGATCGATATAATGTAGACCCGAGCCGAAAGTGGGGGTCTACACTGAAGCCGCTCGCGCATCTCAAACTTTTGTGTTTGATTACATCAAGATATGTAAACAATGACGTACACGTACAACTAATTCTCGTATTATTGCATAATTTAAAGCCCCAAAAATGCAATGATATGTCATTCCTGTGTTTACAAAGAACGATGCAAAATGTAACATCGTAGGTAAGTAGATCAGGTGGTTAAACTTTAATATAGGATTTATTAGACTATTATTATTTCTTTCAAGGTGGCAGAGTTTTGATAGTGATTGGTGGAGACGATCAATACAAAGATGAAGACGAAGAAGAACGTACTGTGATCTCGCGTTGGGCTCGAGGGAAAGTGGCTTCACAGTTCAATGAGGAGTGCCTCGATGGAAGAAGAAGTTTCATCTTTTCATGGAACAAACAACACCGTGAGATCCACGAAGAAGCGCTGCTGCATTACTTTGATCCAAGCAAGAAAGGACAGAAGTTTGAACATCAACCAAAACCAAAACCAGTGCCGTTGCCAGAACCAGCCCTTGAAAACGATGAAGAGGTATGAAATGACACCATAAGTTAAACTTGTTGTCGCTATCATTGGTGATTTTCTTTTGACGAGAGAATGGTAGTAACTGGAAAATCATTAAATGGAATGGGCCTAAAAATGTGCTGGCAGAAAGAGAAATATTCAGAATCAGTCAGTCAGTCAGTCTGTTTGTCAATCATTCAGTTTGTTTGCCAATCAGTCAGTCAGTCGAACAGTCAGTCAGTCAGTC